ACAAACCACTTAACTCAGACTGACGCCAGCTCACTAACAGTCGCGGGAGACCCCCAGCTAACACCACCTAGCAGCACAACTCGTAACTACAAAGCATGCACGTGCAACAGGTCGGTTCCAGTTATTTTTGGGTCCCCCTTCGTATATATGTTGGACAGAGGTAAGTCCACAGTATTTATGTTCAGCATTGTGTTCACTTTAACAGCTGGATCGGATGCTTAAACTTCAAAAGGTCAAGAATTAGGGACTGTTTCTGTGGTTCTTCTGATGTTAATGGCCAAGAGAAATGTAGATACAGCCTTTCTGACCTTTAGGAGTTTAATTACTGACACGTTAGCCAGCCATTCCTTTAAATCTGTCCCTAGTGTTATGTTCAATTTTGCATCTGTGAGCTATTTTAGAACTTTAGAGAGCCTGGAGTTCATAGCAAGTGTTGGAGATTGACTCCCTTATTTTAATGTTAATAGGCTAGCGTTTGTAAAGCATAAATTGAGTACAAACTTCCTGACTTCAACATTTAAATTAATAACACATTTCAATTTTAAATATTTTAGTTATGTGGTTGTTGGATTGACTCGTGTAATCCATGTAGCCACCCACGTCTCTGAAGGTAAGGCAAAGATATCCCTGTAACAGGCCGTGGAGGCGCATAGGATTGTGAGACTTTGAGGATCTCACATTTTCTAGATGTTTGGCTCAAATATGACAGTGAGGTTGTCAGCCTTGTGCACCGACCGCCCTTTACCCCCAAGAACATCCCTGATACTCGTTTTGATTAGAGGCTGAGTCAGTCCTAGGGCCATACTGCAGCTTGAAGGATTAAATCAAAAGAAAAATTCAGTGACCTTATCAGGAATCAAACCTGCTACCTTCCATTTGAATTAGCCTATCAGGAGTGAGTTCAAGTTTGAAGCAAAAGTAGCAGCCATCTTGAATATGTGAAGCAATAAGCACATTGTTAAGGCCTGAGTTTTCCAAAAATTGCTTAACTTCAACACATATTAGAGGCAGGAAGTAAAACTTTTTCACGATGTAGGGGCAGCATGTAACTTCATGGTCATCTGTATCCAAAACTGATAATCTGCATAACCAGTTTGGGGCTTCATGAAAATTATACAAACCTCTAATTTGAAATTCAGGTTAGAGCAATAAATTAGAATTAATATTAGGTCATTGGGAAGAACTAGGCATATTAAGAGTAACTTAAATTCATTGCAGCTTCTGGACAGTATTAAAGTGTGTGACAGCCATTGAAGAGATCGTATACAGTGTAAAGATAAATAAAATTTGGTTTCCTAGACAAGTATGTGGGTCATTCAGCATAAAGGCAGCATTGTGCCCTGGAGTTATGGCCAAGCAGAACAACTAGGAGAGTAGAATCAAGTGCTTTACCAGAGACCCAAATATAAATATTATTGAGGATTGTTTCTCTGGCTCCCAAATCCAAATAATTGGTCCATAAACACGTGCCTGTTAATGGTGTAACTATCCTTGATGTCACTGTTGTATAATCTGGAGATCAACTGTAAGTGGCCATGCAGCATACTTGTAATTTCAGCTGTCAGTAAAACCCACTATATAATTCAGCACAAAATAGCTAGAGCATAGTAACTAAGGATCAGTATTATGAAAGAAGATTCGCCTTTCAAACCGGTACCTTGAGTGGTACAATCATCCACCAAAGCCAGAATTATCTGTGAAGTATTAATAATTTTGAATGATTTCCAAAATTCTTATTGTGGGCATTTAAGTGTACTATCCTGACACTATACAGGGTGTCCCAGGAAGAAAGGTCAGTATTCTGGGAGGTCATAGTATCGGCTATTCAAAGCAAAAAAGTATATATTTGTACAAGTGTCCTATTCCAAACAATTTCTGAGATAGAGCTATTTAACTGTACAGTTCCAAAATTGTTGATATGAAAGATATATTATATACTGTTTCTAATACCCCTATTTATTGTTCAGATGGCAAAATTGGTACAATTTACTGAGTATAATACATTTTTTAAAATTCCACTGTCAACATCCGTGCACTTTGCAACTCATGTAGGATGTTGCATGTTGCTCATCTGAGTGCATCTTGACATTCCTGTATAGTGTAATATACAGTGAAATAGCTGTCTCAGAAACCATTGGGAATACAATGTGTACATTTACACTTTTGCTTAGAATGACCAATACTGTAATCTCCCAAAATATTGACTTTTCCTCGTGGAACATTCTGTATAGTCTCATTACTGACAGTGTCCTTAAATAACAAAATAAAAATGTATTTGTATTATGTGGTAGATTAAAAAAGTCTTAATATTGCATGTGTGCACTTACCTATAATTTTTACAGGCACAGCCTTCAGAGTAGCTCTTCCCACTTAACATTTCTGCCATGGGCCATAAGAATACCAAAAAGTCACTGTGATCCCTTGAATGATATTTCATAGCCTATTTCACCTCTCCTGCTGACTGGAACCTAGCTTCCTTCAAGAGAACATTATTCCTGGGAACGATAGTAATCAACAGAGGAAAGATCTGGATGGTAGGGAGGTCTTCAAATCATAGTGATACCTTCCTTATTGTGTTAGTTCTGGCCATGCCAGAATGGATCTATGTGCTTTTCTTCCCTGC